GAAAAGATATATTTATAATAGTTGAGCTTAAAAAATAAATCTAATTATAAAAACTTTTAATATAAAATATTTATTTAATTTAATTTATGTTTCAATTTCAATGAATTATAATTTTATTTAAATTTTAAAAAAGTCTTAATTTTATTTGATTTTTAATTTTTAGCTAAATTTTTTAAATCGGAATAATTTGTTATAAGTATTTATGGATTTTGTAGTTTTATTAATTTATTATTAAAATTTAAAGTATTGCAGCTTAAAAAAAAATATAAATTTTTATTCAAATTAATAAATAATTAATTGGGTTTGTATTTTTGTAAAATTTTTGTTGAAATTTACTTATAATTTTTTTAAGACAAAAAGAATTTAAATGCAAATTTTTATTGAAAAAATCATCCTTAAAAAATGATTTATTTAAAATTTATTTTTTAATTTTTTATTAGTTACTATTAATTTGGAATTAAAAAATAAATAATTATTAAAATTTTATTTTTTATTTTTTATAATATTAATAAAATGAATTTGAGATCTTTCTTTTATTTTTTTATTCAGTTTTTTAATTTATTTTATTTTTGGAAAAAGCTAAGGAATTTATATAAAGTATTATTTTCTTTTTTTATACATAATTCGAGTAGATTTTGATTCTATAATTTCATTTCATTTAATTATTTAATTAAAGGAAAGTTTGTCTATAATTTTGGGAAGATGATATTATTTTCGTTACTCTTTACAACGAAACAAATTTTCTTTTTATTATTATTTTGAATAAGCTTATTTCTTTACTTAATTTTAAGTAAATTTAAACTTTTAAAAGTAATTCGTGAATTTAAGCTAAATAATATGCTTAATAAATTAATATAAAACCAAATTTTCAATTTTATTTTCTAATTTACTTAAAAATTTTTTGTCAAGATTTATTTATTGTGTATAACTTGGTGAAGATTAATATAATTTTTTTAAAACGAAATTTTTTTAATTTTTTAACTTTGTTTTGAATAAGTTTTTACTTTTTTTACTTAATTTTTTTAATTATTAAAAAAATTTAATTTAATTTATACGTTTTGCCCCCTTAATTTTTTATCAACCAATTTTTTAAATGAAATATATTTTTACTTTAAATTATAATTTTAATTTTGTTTTGTAAAGTTGAATTTATAATTTAGTACTTTAACTTTTTTTGATTTAAATTTAATTTAATTATTTTACTTTTATAAATTTATTTTATAAATTTATTACTTTTTTACTTTATTTTACTTATGAAATAGGTTTCATAAATTTTATAAAGAATAATGCGTAAATAAAACTCTTTAAATTTAATTTTGCTTCAAACACTTTATAAAGTTTTTTTATTTTTTTCATCGGCCAATCCTGAATTTTTTCTTGTATTAGCCAATAGTGTTTCCATTTAGCGTAAGCTGTCCAATCCTTGCCTTGATTTTGTGAATGTGTTTTTATTGGTTTATATGAAATTGAAATTTTTTTTTTTATAGGCTCAAACATTTTAAGGAATTAATGGAACGTGTGGAAAATCACAGCCGCGGAAGAGGTCTGCTCTGCTTAGAAAAATAATATTATTATTAATAATAATAACTTTCTTCTTTGCGTATATAATTGTTAGAATAATGATAACAAATAAATATAATAATTTAGTTAAAATATATTTTAGAAAAATATTATACTTAAAAATAATTACAATTAATAAAAATATTTATAAAATAATAAGTAAAAATAAATGATAAAAAAACTTGGTTTTTAAAAATAATAAGTAAGCAAACTTATTTTATAGGGAAACTACTTTTTTTATTATAATAATAATAAGAAGTTATTATTTTATTAATAATTATTAAAAATAAATTAAAGAAAAAAAACTTTTTTATTATAACAATTATAATATTAAATGAAATTTTATAGAAAAGTTATTTTATTAATATTTTAATAAATAAATAAATAAATGGTCTATAAAAAAATTAATATGAAGTAAAAATATATAAACTTTTGCTTGTTACTATTAAATAAAAACTTTTATTATAATAATAAAAGAATAAAATAATATTAAAAAATAATAAAGAAAAACTTTTTTCATAGCAATAATAATAATAATAAAGACTAATACCAAAAAAAATTAAGGAAAACTTTTAGAAAAGTCATTATACTAATTATAATAATAAATAAAAATATACAAATATTTATATATTCAAAAAACATTATAATAAGATAAAAATCATTTTATAACAACTATTAAAAATAAATAACTTTTAAAAAAACTTTTATATTAACCATAATAAATTAAAAGTTTGCTTGCTACTAATAAATTAAAAACTTTTATAGAAAAAATATTATTTTCTTATAAAATTATTATTATATTTAAAAAGAAATTAATGTAAATAATCATAATATTCAGTTAATACTATTTTTTTTCCTTTCACAATAATAATAAGGAATAAATTAGTTTAGTAAAACTTTTAATAATAATAATAAAAATAATAAATAATCCTTTTTTATTATTTTGTTAATTATAATAATAGTAGCATGTGTAAAATATATATTTAAGAAATCATTTTTTATTATAGCAATAATAATAAGTAAATAAATTTAGAACAATTTTTACAATAAAAATAATAAATAACGGAACCTAAAAAGTTGGGCTATTTATAAGAAATTCGGAACAAAAATAAATAAAAAACTTTATTATAACCGTTAATAATGAATAATAGTAAAAAAATATTAAAATGGTAATAAGTAAAATTTTTTATTCTACTAATAAAGTTATATTGAAAAATTATTAAGTTTATAATAATAGTAATATATAATAAGTTTAATATTTATATTTCAAAATATAATAATAAGTAAAAATTATAAAGGAAATAAAGAAACTGTGATATTTTTTTTATAATATATTTTTTTATTAATAAATGGAAACAGTAAAGTAAAACTATTATATTACTATTGCTATTAAAAATAAGTGCATAGAATAACTATATTATAATAATTTTATTTCTATTAAAAAGTATTAAAAAAAAAGTTTTACATGTACATAATAATAATACTATGAAGCATTAAGAAAAAAAATTTTGTATAATAATAATAATATTATTATTAGAAAAATATCAGAAAATATGTTATTTTGGTAATCATAATATTTGTGTTAATAAGAAAATATCTTTAAGAGAAATGTTTTTTTATAACAATAATTATGATATTTATTTAAAAATTTTATATTAATTGCTTTATATTATAATAAGAATTATAATAATATTTAGAAAAATATAAAAATACTAATGAAAAAAGTCTATTTAGCTAGTAATACGAAAAGTTGTTTTTTAGTAATAATATTGTAGTATAATATTTAAGGTAACTGTGCTGTTTATAATTGTAATAACTTGTTATTAATATTTAATATATATTTTTATTATAAATTTTTATTTATAGTTAATATATATTTTTTTATTTCCTATAAAACGTTATTTTAAGTTTTATATTTTTTTTACTATTTAATTTTTTACGAAACGTTTTATTTATAATAATGAAGGGCATGAAAGTTATGCAGATCGCGAACAGCAGCGGCAGGAAAGAGAAGAAAGAACGAAGCAACGAATCGAAGAAAAATCAAAAGAACAGGAAATAAAGGCTATTAAAGAAAGGCTAGTGATTGGCTGCCTTTATTGTTATTATTATTATTATTTTTAGTAGATATTTGGGAGCTCCTAAAAAACAAAGAAAAATCAGAAGAATGAATGATAAAAAGTTCGTTTTTGATTGGGATTTGGCTGAAGATACCAGCGTGGATTATAATACTCTATATAAAGAAAAGCATAATATTCTTCTCTTTGGCCGAGGTTCTTTTAAGTATTAATGATAAGAATAAGAATTAATAATGATTGTAGTGATATTTACTAATAAAAATGATAATAATTATAATAAAATTGAAATTTGAGTGATTATTTTTTTCAAGTTTATTGGTTTCTTTTTTATTTCGCATTAGTTTTAGCGCCTCTACTTTTCGTTATTTTTTTTCTGTTTATTTATTTATATATATATCATTTAATTTTTTATTATTTTTTTATATATATAAAGAAATATATTTAGTTATATATTTCTTTATATATTTGTTTCTTTACTTTTTTATATATTTTTTATTAATATTCTATATTTATTGAAATAATTATGGATTATCACTATATTAGGGCACATTGCTGGTCTAGAAGTGAATGAGCAGAAAAAATTAGCCGATAAGTTTTACTCCAATTATTTGCAGAATAGAAGAAACGAAGAGTGCCTCTTTTTTAAGGCAGAAAGAGAAATAAAGTTGCCACTATTCATTATCTTTTCTTTATTTTATTGGTTACTTACGCCAGTGTACTCTTATTTGGTAGCATTTCACATATATTGGTAGTGCTTTGTTTTGCTACCAATATATAGCTGGGTTTTTTATTTATATTTTGGCTCTTATTTAGATTGATGACTAATGAATTCCCTTTTATTATTGGTGATTTAAATTTTTTTATTGACTGTTATAAGATTGATGACAATTAAAACCTTTTATTATTGTGATTTGCGCTCTAATTGCTTTAGTTTTGGGCCATTTGATTGGCTTGTTATATTATATGTTATTGGTGGATATGAAATGCATAATTTTTATTACTTTATATTAAAATTCAAAAATGTTACTGAGGCACATTTTTGATTGGGAGATGATCCGTCTCATCTAAATTTTTTCTAACTATCGAATTAGGGAGCAGGATAAAATGGCCAAGCGTAAACTTGATGAACGTCATTGGTCGGAAAAAGCTCTTGATGAAATGACGGAGCGTGATTGGCGTATTTTCAAAGAAGACTTCAACATTTCTACAAAGGGTGTCCAATAACTAATTATTTTCACCTCATTGACGTGTCTCATTGGTTTATACCTATTTAGGTGGCCGGATTCCACATCCTATCCGTTCTTGGAAGGAATGTGAAGGGCTTTCTGGTGATTATTTGTAATACTATTATTGGCTGTCCGATTGCTCAGACTTTGGCACATCCAGAAAAAATTGCCAAGATCATTGATAGTTTGGGGTACAGAGAGCCAACGCCCATTCAGAGGTAGCTATAATACTACTCGTTCATTGGCACACTGTGGTATTTTTTTGATAAAGACAAGCGATTCCCATTGGACTTTTAAATCGAGATGTACTGGGTATCGCACAAACGGGTAAAAAACGCTTTGATTGGTGCACTTTTTTGTATTGTACGTGAATTGGTTAAAGTTCTTGTTTTTTAATAGGAAGCGGTAAAACGGCGGCATTTTTGATTCCCATGTTAGTGTGGATCACCAATCTTCCAAGGGAAGAAAGGATCGCTCCGGCGGACGGCCCGTGGTCCATTATTATGGCCCCGACCCGCGAAGTCTTATTATTTTTATTGAAGATATCATTATTACTAGTCACATTTTTTTTTAGCTGGCGCAGCAAATCGACGAGGAGTGTCAAAAGTTTTCCCGTCCATTAGGAATGAAAACAGTATCTATCATTGGCGGAGTAATTATAAAAAAGAATTTAATTGATTCACAATCAACACATTGTGATTTCTCAATTTTTTGTCAGCTTTCTAGAGAAGAGCAGGCATTTCAGTTGCGATTGGGCGTAGAAATCGTCATTGCCACGCCAGGTGTCCTTTATTGTTTCGTAGTACTTCTGATTTGTTGTCAGTTTTAGTCGCCAGTTATGACTATAATATTTTTATTATTATTATTATTATTAAAGGTCGACTTAAGGATGTGTTGGAGCAGAGGTATGTCGTTTTAAATAGATGCACGTACGTTGTTATGGACGAAGTAATTGTTATTATTATTACTTTTATAATTATTATTACTATTATTATTATTATAGGCAGATAGAATGATTGATATGGGCTTTGAGCCTGACGTTAAAGCTATTTTAGACTTTATGCCTGCTTCAAACTTAAAACCTGGTGTTTTATTATTATTATTATTATTATTATTATTATTATTATTATTATTATTATTATTATATTATTATTATTATTATTATTATTATTATTATTATTATTATTATTATTATTATTATTATTATTATTATAACTATTATTATCACTATTATTATTATTATGATTATTACTATTATTATCACTATTATTATTATTACTACTATTATTATTATTATGATTATTATGATTATTATGATTATGATTATTACTATTATTATTATAAAAGATAACGATGACGCTGAAAATCCCGATGTCCTTGCGCAGGTTGTTATTATTATAATTATTACTATTGTTGTCATTATCATTATTATACCTTATAGAATACGAAATCTACCAAAAAATACCGCCAAACGGTAATGTTTACCGCAACGATGCCTCCCGCCGTCGAAAGGTTAGCGCAGAGCTACATGCGCAAACCCGGTAGTTTCTTTTTATAATTGTTCCTATTGGATATACATAAACCATTTTACTGGTTCCTTTATGTTTCCTGCACAGCCACTGTTATTATTGGAACCGCCGGATCCGCCGTGGAAAGTGTTGAACAGCAAGTTATGTTTATTAGTGAACTTGATAAAAGGCATTATTATTATTATTATTATTATTATTATTATTATTATTATTATTATTATTATTATTATTATTATTATTATTATTATTGATAGAAGTAAACTACTTGAAATACTTCCGGAGTGCGAGCCTCCAGTTATCGTATTTGCCAACCAAAAGAAGACTTGCGATTATTTATTAAAGACACTTGATCAGGCTGGGGTAAATTATTGGCTCTTATTTTTATTTCTTCTCTTTGATTGGTTTGGTTCGAGTCTATTATTGCTCTGTTTATAAACTTGATACTAATATTTGCTCCATGAATTTAGTATAAAGCAATTACTTTACACGGCGGGAAGTCCCAAGAACAAAGGTTATTATTGTTATTATTATTATTATTGTTATTACTATTATTATTACTATTATTATTATTATTATTATTATTATTATTATTATTATACAATTGTTTTCAACTAAGCATTGAAATATTGTATTTAACTTTATGATAACTTTATATAAAGTTTTACCCTTTGTTATTTCGCGCTGTACAACCAAAAAAAGGGCTTATATTGGTGGATGAATGACATGTTTTTTAATTATTAGCATTTCTTAAAAGGTTTTTGTATCCAACGTTTACAGTCATTTTAATTTGCAATTTTGTGTAAGAAGCGCGTTTATTGGTTAAAAGTAATTTTCTTGAGTTTCCTTTTTTAATAGGCGTTTACTATTTGTGCATTCTATTTTATATGATGAAGTGATTGGCGCATTTTTTAATGTTGATTTGATTTGTAGACAGCATGCTTTGGAATTACTAAAAACGGGTGTGAAAGACATTTTAGTGGCCACTGACGTCGCTGGACGCGGAATTGACATTCAAGATGTCTCATTGGTCATTAACTACGACATGGCCAAAACTATTGAAGGTTTTTTTATGAATGTATTTATTACGTATTTTTTTTTAAATAAAATAATTTTGGTATCTTTTTTCATGCTTTTAATATTTTTTTATTGGTTATTTATAAAACTTTTTATTTTTTTTATTGTTTATAAAAAAAGCAACATTAATTTTTTATAAACTCTTTCTTTTAAAGAATTAACGACAATTAGTAAATCTCCCGCTCTTGCAATTATTATTATTATTATTATGGTTATTATGATTATTATTATTGTTATTAATATTATTATTATTATAATTATTAGACTATACGCACCGCATCGGACGAACAGGACGCGCAGGAAAATCTGGAGTTGCTCTAACTTTTCTGACTACAGCCGATAAAGATGTTTTGTACGACTTGAAGCAGGCGATTCTGAAATCAGAAGGTGATTACTATTATTATTATTATCATTATCATAACTTTTGCTCTTGAAATCTTTTAGCCAGCGTATGCCCTCCGGAACTCGCCAATCATCCCGATGCCTTATACAAACCTGGAACGATTGTTAATAAAAGGAAGAGAGAAGAAACTATTTTTGCTTAGAAAGATTTGTAAATTTCCTTCCGCTTTCAGTGTCAAGCTTTTAGGATTTTACTTCTTTTATCTCCAATAAAGATTATTATTAATAATAATTTAGTTTGTTCAGTAACTTAAAAATTTCGCTCTGCAAACCTCTTCAGGCCGCTGTAAAGAAAAACTTTTTGGTGCATAGTTATAGTAAAGGCACTGACTTCTAACCAACGATATTAGAAGAAGTGGTGGATTCGTCAATAAGCTTTAAGAATTCTTTTATATAACTACATTTTATTACCTTTTTTTTTTTAGAAATTTATGTGTATTTTAGAACAAAAAATTAATAATCTTATTTGTTAGACGTTTCCATTATAAAATATTTATTATCTTAAGTCTACAATTAATTTAAAATTAAAAATTCTGTTTTAAAAAGTACAGAGTCTAAGTAATTCTTAAATACGCAAGTTTAACTGCAATTCGACTATTCCACCGAAAAAGATCGATATTCCCCCCTGTCTTATTAAAATATATTATTATTTAGCAAAAGAGCAAGAAAAATTGCAAAAATTGAGAGCTCTTTGCGTTCTTTGCTTGCTTTTAATTTAGTTTCTTAACGTTAAATTGATCGAAGTGATGGCGCTTTGTTATTAAAGCTTTAGCCCCTATTTATGTACATTTTTTTTAATTTAAAAACTCCATAATTTTCGTAACTTTGTCTTGGGGCTTTATTTTGAAGTCAGTAAATTTTTATTGAAACATTTACTTTTTAAATCAATTTCTATTTATTATCTTCAATGCAATTTACAGCTACTGCCTACGTTTTTTACTATTATATATAGTTTTACAATAGACTGTTCAAAGCTGTTATCACATCAAAGTTTTTAACTTTTTAAATAAAGTACAATGGAGAGAAGGTACTGAAAGCGTACGTAGAGTAAAAAGTTCGATTTTTTTAATAAAACAAATAGAGAGAGTAAAGGGAAAGGAGAAAACAGTCTTCATTGTAACTTCTATAATCCAACCTAACCCTTAAACCTCACTTCCCACAGATTTTTCCACTTTATTAATAATTTAAAGGTCGTTGTTGCTGAAATTCCGCTCCTGTGTAAAGCAACTACGGCAACACCACTTTTATTCCACTTAATTATTATTTAACAACCAGAAAAATAAATAACCTACCTACCTTTGTTTTCAACGATTACTTAGATCGTATGAAAAATTAAAATTTTTAAACAGAACTTATGATCTAACTATATATATATATAGTAAATAGATCTCAAGATGAATAAAATATTTTATATAATATTGTAAGATATTGTGCTTTAGCTTATAAAATTGGTTTCTTGTTTCAAACTTTTTCTCCATCTTAACACATATTCGGGGCTTAATAAAATATAAACGTAAAACATAGAAGTATCGTATAGATGATTTTTCCCTTTAAAAATAGACGGATCTTAAAATCAGTTGCGATTAAACCTTAGATGTTAAGCTGCTGTTTATTCATTTCATTCGCGTTCACGTAAATATAATTTAATCTATGTAAAACCTACCACTGCATTTAATAGCTCCTCTTCGCTAAAGTAAAATGTCCCGGTGAGTTCTAGTTAATTCTTTGCTATTAAAACAATAATAAAGTAGTAGCGAATAATATAAAAAAATGAAGGGAAAATGTTTCCGTATCAATAATTTTTCATAATGATAAGATGCCATTATTAAAGGAGTGGCATGACAGATTAAAAATTCACAATTTATAACTTCCAAATTTAGTAGTAAAAATCTACATTTGTGTGATGGATCTAAGATTACAACTTAAGGTAATTACAAAATTAGCTAAAAATAACAAATTTTGGTATATACTAGTTGAGATATATAGTACATAAAAAGTTAGGTTTATAAAAGCTCACATGCTTAGCTTAATCGTGCCCCCCTTTCTACTGTGTAAATGTACAAATATATTAACCACATATTTGAAACGGTAAATTTTACTGCTTAAAGTTTTAATAATTATCATTTTGGTCATAATTTTCGATATTGTCCTTGGTGCACTATGATAAAATACTCCCGTCAACATTAGGTTGCTTTGAAATTATATTATAATATTTCTTTCTTACTTTGCAGGGTTCTCTTTAGCATATTAGCGTGCAAATGTGTGATAAAAAATATATGAAATTAATTATGTCGAGATACAATTGTCGTTAGCATTACTGGTGTTACGTCTCCTTCGGAATCCGTTCATGTCAACCTCAGACCCATTACTTTTTGCGCATTTATCGTCTAAACTATTGTCTTACCAATTTCATTGTCCTCTTTGAAATGGTAAAAGCGACATTCCAGTTTTACGCATATTATTTTCTTATATATAGCAAAAAACACTTATACTCTCTATCAGCTTTTTCGTCGCCATGGTGTGAATTCTAAAGCAGTCACCGCAAAACTTTTGAGCGAGATCCACCCATTTTTAACAGTATGAAAGAATTCTTAAGTTTTGTTAAGTTTGTTTTAACGTTGTTGAAAGAAGTTTAATTTAGTACGTGTTAGTGGAACTCCTGGCATCAAATCTCAAACTAATGACGTCCATTAAAGAATTAGATTATTGAGCAAAATGTATATTGACTTTTGCTTTTACTATAGGCTATAAGTTTTTTCAGGTTGTCCCGCTTGTATGAGTTTGCTATTTTATTAAGATTGTCTCTTATATATAAAAAGTATAATTTCAAAAGAATATAAGAATTCATATGAAAAAGTAAAACAGAAATATATATACACATATATAATAAAAAATTCCTTTAATTTTTTTAATATACTAAGTAATTAAGCAAAGTACTTCTAGTAAATATAGTAAAAACAGATTATACACAAATAAGAGTGGTAGATTCAGTAAGTCAGGCAATTGCAAGTAGGTGTTATTAACATAAAATTATACAATTTAATTAAATAAGCTACAATTGAATAGATATTCTTTACTACTTATGAAGAGTCTTATTAAAAATGAGTTTTTTTAAAAAATCTTTTGGGCTCCTACTTATACCTGTGTATTTATTCACCTTTTAATGAGTTAAGTTAATTAAATTTTCTCAATAGTCGTGTTTTTTTTTTTTGAACTCCTTGGTAACGAGGCCTACGTTCAAGCATTACTCTAGCATGTGAAGTTTTGGCCATTGTATATAAATTTAAGAAACGGGACACTAACTTATAACGTTCTGTGGGTAACATAAGTCTAACATAACTACTCTTGACAGGATAGAATGATTACGACTGTAACTAATTTCTTAAGTCATAAAAGTTGTTTTATATAATAATAGACTGGTAAATACTTTTATAAGCTCTAGAAACTAATTAAACTACTAATTATCATGGATTAAAAAGGTTAACAATAATTTACTGAAAGTGGATGGACTGTAAAAAAAAGTTTATAAGTTTATCAAAATTTTATATCAACTTAGTAACGTAATCATTTCTTTATGTTGAATTTTAATGCTTTGTTTTTAGACTTAGGATAATAATTTTTTTTGTTGACTTAAATCCTCTTGACAATGTACAAGCGGTTATAGAACTTATGCTAATAAAACATTTATATTAGCGTTAAAATATGAAGGAAACAAAACATTTTAGTTAATGTAAGCTAAAAATAAATATATTTACTCAGAAAATTTTCAATATTTGGGAGATTAATTAATATTAACTTATATGAATAGTAACTCAAAAGACAGTAGATTCAATTGGGGTTGTGAATTTTCCACTCATGTCAAAGTACTTTAAGTAGCTAACATTTCATCTGTACACTTCTGCGGAATTGTTTAGATTTATTTAAAACGATTTATTTGGCAGCATTTTTCATTATTCCTTTTTTTTGGCTTTGGTAAGCAATAAAGCATAGTTTCGTTAAAATTTAATTTGCATTATGTTTGTTTAATTGTTTTCATTTGTCATCTATAGGGACCCCTTTTGGAATTTTAATGTCTTTGTTACAAAAAGCAAAGTGCGTGTTGGAAGAAAATATTGTAGTCCAATATAATGAGAACATTAACGCCATTGAAGCGAAATACATTTTCGTTATTTACGCAGAAGAGATAAATTTTATTCGATGGAACGATAGTTAAAAATTTAGCTTTTTGCTTGTTAGAGATTGACTGGGATGGCGTAAATCACAAGTTTATATATTTTTGTAAGGGTGCTAGGCCTTTTTTTCAGTAGAATTTGATAAGAATGGCGGACTTATAGTATTTAATTTTGTTTTTACAGGAGAAGTTCCTGATTATTTTTTTGCTCTTCTTAAAGTCTATAAAAAGGCTTTTGATGAATTTCTAATTGTTGATGACCGAAGATTTATATTCATGAGTTGCCAAGAAGTCACCGCTAACTTTTTAGTAAAAGCCGAAGACTCTATTATGCCTAAGAATAATTGATTACAGTTTATTAAACCGGTTACCCAAATTTATACAGTGTTTTCCAATATTGTAACCTTACCCAAGCCGATCTTCATTCATTATTAATACCCCCAATGCAAAGCAACGTTATCCCAGAATTTTTCTTAGTACCGGTTTTCCTTTGCCAATAAGCATATTTAAAGAAAAGCTCGTTATTGAAGAAAAGAGAATCTTATTACAAACGCCTACTTATAAAGTAGATGTAAATCATTACATTTTTCAAGAAAATGGGTTTGCCTCTTTGCATTAAAGGCGAAATATCCTTCCTATTAATAACTTATTAAGCGATTTAGAACTTTTTCGACTTTTTAGTTCAAGTGCGGAAGAGTATGAAAGAATCTTTACCAAGATTGTGGATCACTCATTGATCAATTATGCTAAGTATTTTAAATACTATAAATCAACTGAAGTTGTTGGTGGGAAGTTGTACCATTTAAGGTTTTCAGGGGTGCGCCGCTTATATATATATAGTACTAGTAAATAACACAATAATGCGCCCTCGCAAAGTGCACCAAATTTCAAGGAGTCCAAATGCTAAGACACAAGCACTGATGTAACTATACATTTTGCTAATAAGTTCTGATGCTTTATGTATCTTTATTA